TTTATGTTCAAAACACTTAATGACCATTCGATTCATTTGCTATTCGTTATTTTGTTAATTTTTCTTATAAATTTTATTTATTAGCACAAATAAACTTTATTTTCTTCTATTTTTATACTAACTAAAACTTAATTTTGAATCATTTATTTTAAGGAATAATTAAATTTGTAATTTTGAAAATTTGTAGATGTAAAGAAACATTACTTCAAAATTATATTGTTTAATAATTTGCTAAAAATAAATTTTATATACAGAAGAATTAGTTAAATAAATGAAATTTTATAAAAATCTAAAATGAATATTTCATTAGAAAGATGAAATTTTCTTATGCTTGTTAACTTCTTAATTTAAAAATCCGATTAAGTTAAGAAAGTAAAAATTTTAGAAACATTTTTAACCTGTTATTAAGTGAACACTAGAATAATATATTAAGAAAGTTAAGAAATTTTATGTTAAATTATTGATCAAATCAATTTTTAAACAAATTTTTATTTTTATTATTTTGCTATTTTGATTAAATTTTATTAAATTTGATTAAAAATCCAATCAAAAATAATTGAAATTTTGCACAAATTATGTTAATGTATTGCTTAAATTAGCATTTTATTAATATATAAAATCGAAATAAGGACAATTTTATTTAATTTTAACGCTTATTTAAAAATATAATTTATTTATATAAAATACTTTTGTGTTGTGCTATTAATTATATGACAAATTCGAATTTAATTAGAATATAATAAATAAAAATGTTTCTGCATTGTGAAGTTAAATTATAACTATCCGAATTGATTCCTTTCTAGCATTTCTCATAAAATCTTCATCCATTCACCTTTCTGTAGCATTTCTTAAGTGAAAAACGATCTTCAATCATCTAGAAAATGTCCAAAGACATCGAAACTTTCTTCTTTTTCAATAAAATACAGCTATTATACTTAATATAACTTTAAAAATATCTTAATTTTTTAAAAATAAATGCCAAATTATCGGAGATACAATATTTCTATTCTATAAATTTATTTTAATCAGCATCTTCTCGCAAAAATTCAATTTATAAAGACGAATAAATGAATTCCTATAATAAATACAATATTTAAATATTTAAAATTACCTTTATATTTTATATAAACATCTTTAATTATTTTCTGTAATTACTTTAAATGAATTATTATTGATTATTTCTCGTTAATGTCGGTTTTTCTTGTTTCTTTGGATATTTAAAATTTAAATTTAAAATAGTTAAACAGTAATATTTCATAACTACGTAAAGTTGAGATTATTTTCTAATGGGAAAATAATGAAATTAAAGAGGGAAGTTCATATAAAACTTATAATGATTTTAATTTTGATACTTAAAGAGAAATATGGCAAGTAATCACAGATTTTGTTTTAATAAATATTGTTAAGTTGTAATTTATGGCGAATTTAATAATCATTTTATCATTTGAAGTGCCATAAAACAACTTCTGGAATTCTTTAGGATTAAAATATGAAGCCAGATTTTTAAAAAAGGATCTTAGAATAGGTCTATTAAATATCTTTAATCGATCTATAAAACCGTATCTAAAATGGCTAAGATTTCCAGTAATTTTTGATAAGATATATTATTTTCCTACGGAGAATTTAACAGGAAAAAAATTTAGATTCTGTTTTATGCCATTTAAGAAAATAAAATTGGGATTATATATATATAAAAGTCATCTAATAGCATTTTCTGATCTCTATGAATTTTTAAAATCGATTTATTTTAAGACTATAAGAAAATTGAATTTAATAAATTATTTAACTAATTACAATTTATTTAATTAATATATATAATTAACATTTATGTGTTTATATTACAGGATAATATTATAGATATTAAATTATGTTTTAAAATTCTCTGCGGTTTCCTTCAGATATTTGAGATTTCTGATCGATAAACGACGTGGTGATAAAATGTACAAGTTTTCCTGCTTGTAGAAAGAAAGAGATAGCAGAATTATTCGCTCTGGGCTTTATTTTTTATTATTATTGAAGTTTAGGAGAAGGTGTTTTGTTTTAAAATCTAATTTTGCTCTTGTTTTACTTTTATATATTATCATCGTAACGCTATAAAAGCAAGTAGAACTGCATTGTTCGGCACGCAATACAAAAATAACATTATAATACAGTAATAATTAAAAAGAAAAGGATAGAAAAAGTGATTTAAAGTATTAAATATTATATTCTTGCTCGCGTATTTCTCATTATTCGGTGTAGAAACCTCCATTTTAGCAAACAGCACGTGAGATTTTATGAATATAAAAAAGAGGGATGAACAATTCGCGTGTTTTACTAATAAAAATTATTCAGATATTCAGAATTAAATTATCATAGTAATTAATTTCTTAAACAGGTTTATTCAGTGTATATATATATAAATTATTATTATGTTTTAATTAAAAGCTACAAAAGTTTAAGGTATTTAACATAGATTTGATCATTATCATTATAGTAATTAATTTATGAAAAAGATTTATTGAGTATATGTATATAAAAATTATTATTTTTAATCAAAATCTACAAATTTTTAAGCTATTTAATGTATATTTAATCAAACACTGTCGATATCATTTGTACAGAAATACTTATCTAAATGATTATTGTTTAAAAACTAGTAAAAAGGGCAGAAAAAATAGTAAAGATAGCTTTTTTCGATTTTCTAAAATGTCTTTTAAACGACCTTAATACTTAAAATGTCTTTTTCGAAGCGAAATATCAATTTAACATTTTCTCCTTTTTTTTCCAACTTAATATTTTCCTATATAGACATTATAATATCAGAATGTCTTATATTGAACTGGAATTTCGAAAAACTTTTGTATGCGATTTTAGTATTTGTACAGTCGATATTCCAAAGAGAAGGGCGGATTTATAGGAAGAAATAATTTTAAAAATGCATTTTTTTAAAAATATATTTCTTCGACCAAACTGCATCTTGTTTCGTATGAAAATAAAAATATATAACAGGATTTTGTTTAAATCTCNTATTTATCGTGAAAAATTGCATTGGTAAACTATTATTTAGAAAAAATGTAAAAAGTAAAATCGAAATTCAAAACTATTTATGATAAACGACACGGCTTAATGTGTCTGATAAAAAGTTGAAATGAAAATTTTCGATCCTAAAGTAATAATAATAAATTTTTAAAATGTACAAGTGCCAGAATAATAGAGAAAAAAAGGATGACAGAATAAAAAGTCAAAAAGATTGTTAGAAATTCTGGTTGAAAACTGTTCTTTGATGGTAAACTTACATAGAAAAATCTTACATTTATCCAAACTATCTATAGAGAAGGAGGGGGGAAATTTTTATATAAAATATACTACTTATTTAGATTCAATATTTATAGTTGAATCTTAAATTTTTATAAATCGAAATAAATATGGATCCTCTAAAAACAAATATTCCTTTTATGTTTATTGTATTTTTATAAGAACGGGAATATTTTTTTTAAGTATTGACTTTTATAAACTATAAAAAAAATAATAATATAAACATTTAATATTTTTATTTAATAGCAATTCTTTAATCTTGAGCAACAAAATAAGCAGGATAACATAGAATAGGTATGACTGATTCTTATGGATGCTGAATCTGTATTATGTTTGTTATTCGATTCTCTTCTGTTGATATGCTGTTTTTTTTTCCATTCGTTTTTTCCTCCATCCATTAAGTCTCTGATCTAAGTAATAATTCACTTTTTCTGCATTTTTTAAATTAAATTAATATGATGAATAGGATGGCTCGCTTATAAAACAAATAGTAGTTGGAAGCTTCAGCAATAATTGATAAGAATCCTACGAATGTTTTCGGAGATAATAACAGGAAAAAAGTTTTATTTCGTTTTATTTTTAAATCGATGATTACTTTATCATTACTTATTGGATAAATATAACAAAATGAGAAGGGTATTTTTAATATAATGGACGACTTAGTCTAGTGTTTCCTAAACTTTTCGGACTAACGCCTTTTCCTTTTAGTGCATGTATTTCTTACCTTTTTTTGTTTTTACTCTGCTTCAAATGAATTTTCCCCCTATCTTCCAATTCCCACTCCCCCAGCGCCCACTTGAGTCTTCTACCGCCCTCAAGGAAGCGGTACCGTCCATTTTATGTATCAAAGATTTAGTCAAACAGAAATTACATTAAAAAGAAATTATTGAGAAATTTGTGTTAAATCAAATTTCGAATTTTGAATACAGTATTTACAAATAAAAAAAATATATATACATATTGCAAATTTTTGATTTTAAAACCGTATTATCTTATATCCATTACCCGTTCTTTAATATGAGAATATTCATATTTTTCTTAATAAAAATCGGCATATTTAATAATAAAAGGAGCACACTTCATCTTGTAAATACAATTAGATTTAAATTGATCGATGTTTAAAAAAAAACTTCAACAAGATTATTTTCCAATCGAATAAGAATGTGAAATTCTTTTGTAAATCTGAAAGAAGAAAATAAAATCTTCACATCTCTATGATTCAGTCCATAGAGATCTAAAGATTATTTCGTACGGAATCAAATTTATATGCTACCGGGAAATCTATAAAATTGGTTACTTTTATTCACAAGAATATGACACACACCAATTTATTTTTTATTTGATAAACGCTTTGAATTTTATAAATAATTAGTTTTTGATTTTACTTTTTGGTTTTTTTTGGTAGTAGTATTATTTAAATTATTTTGATGAATTGGTTTATCAGAAATCGGTTTTCTTGTTTACAAAATAATATTTTAGAATAATATAATTTGAACAAATCAAAAATACTTTTCTATTCGAGTAAATTTAAACGATTTATTTGGGAAAATATTAAAATACAGTAAATTTATTTAGCCAATTTGTTTTATGTTACGAAAACTTTTAAATAAAAATTATTGGCAATTTTAAAAAGTGTATAACGTTGAAAACGTGGAAATTTTTTCTTTATTTAATCTCTTATTTGTTATCGTTTCTTTCCACAGATCGCTTGCCAAGTAGGTGACCCTTGCACAACCTCATCCTCTCCTCAAGACGGTATACTTGTATCCGTTCTTCAAGTAGATCTCCAGCTCGGTGATTGGTTAACGTAAGTATGACGAAATTCAAAAATTTGAATTTTTCAATAGAAATTCAACGTTATTGGCTAGTTTCTAAATTTGAAATACGAATTTTAAATTACGTAAGAATGATTATTAGTTATTTTAAAATGACATCATCGACGTTTTCTTTTTAAAATTAGGCCTACTTCTTAACCTTTATTCAAATCGATGTTTCTTTTGTAAGATTACTTTTAAATAATAAAATACGATCAATAAAATTTTAAATTGGATTAATCATCGTAGCTTAATTAATTATAAATTTCTATAGAAAATGTATGAACGAGATTATTTTTAAAGATTAAAAAAAGTGTTATAAATTAGAAAATGTCACTTATTTAAATTATTCATGTTAATATGATGATATATTTTAAGATTATTTTAAAGATTATAATAATGGGATTAAAGTTTTAATATAATCAAAATTCAAATATAAAAGAATGGTTCATTTAATTTCGATTTTCTTTTGAATTCGGAATAACGACTCAGGAAATAATAGAAGAATCGAATCAATTTAGATTAGTATTGATTTCTGTTATAAATAAGATTTTATTTAAAAATAAATAAAAGTAATAAGTTAAAAAGTATTGTTTTTTAATTTATTTTATTTTTTGTTTTTATGGTCAGATGGCTGAGTAGTTGGGGTAACGCTCTGGAGCACCCGGAATCGAATCCGGACGGGTCAAAATCTCCAGGAATTTTTCGCAGAATGGTTCGGATATGTCGTGGTATGGAGCCTGATATATCCATTGTGGGCCTCGCGACCAGGCCACCCCATTATGGACCTGGCTGAACCCATAATGGACTAAGACGGCCGGATGGCCGACAGGTCAAGGTGGCAGCCTTACCCTCTAGGAACCCGGAATCGAATTCGGACGGGTCGAAAACTCCCTAGGAATTTTTTGGGAGGAGTTCCGTCAGGATATGTCGGGCCTCGTCCATCATCACCCGACCGCCCCATTGTGGGCCTGGCCGAACCAATAATGGACTTGCAAAAGGCCTCTTAATGTCCGTAGGACGGAAAGAATTTTTTAAATATTTTTTCCTTAAAATAATAAAAGTATTGTATTTACTGTAATTATATTTTAAGAAATGTTATTTCTTTTATTTTTATTATTAAAAGGGGAAGAATAGAAATTTTTTATAGGACATTTTGTAAGATATATAAACATTGGATATTTAACTTTTTGAAAAACCGATTGATAAAAGTAAATTTTTGACTTTTCCACTTAAGTTTACGGATATTAAATTTCTGTTTCTAAACTTATAAAATATTGAACGTGTCAAATGCCGGATGGTAACGAAAAGAATGACGTCAATTCTTTTTAATATTTGTGGTTTATTCAACTTAGCTGTCTCCAAGAGGAATTTTATTAAAAAATTTTGGAAATAATATGGACGTAGTTCGGTATTTTTTAATTAAAAAATTAAACTGCAATAATTTACATATATTAGTAATTACTTAATTAAATCTAATTATTTTTAATAATTTGTCATACAGAATGACAAATGAGACCTATTCCATAATAAATTATTTTATTTTAAGCGCTGTAAATTCCTTATTGGCACAATAAATTCGACGAAATTCTCATTTAAATCTATTTAATTATTGGTCATTTTCTAATTTAATTGGCTATTTGGAAAGGTGCATTTCTGTGCTTAATGATTCAATGATTGTATGTAAATTATATGGGTATAATTGAGAAAATTAAAATAAAAGAATTCAGGTCCAACTTGCAGAATAGTTTCAAAATTGTCGCATGATCAATAATTCTAAATAAATTGAATAATCTTCACAGGTATAAATTAAATGGGCTATTTTCTCTTAGGTGAAACGGTATTTTACGCAAATTTTGATATCATGTCACGTATTTTAGAAAACCTTAGCTTGTAGTTGAAAAACCAAACATTTGTGCGCGAAAGAATAAAATTTTACAGAGTTGTTGTCAGCATATAAAACAGGAATTAACGTAGAACAATATTCTCTCGAGAATATTTTATAGGTAGACATACTCAAGCGGAATACCGAATAACTATATTTTGTTGAAAATTCCGTAAATTTATTAAGTCATAACACACCAATAATCTAACATATGTCATAAATGGGAAGTGCCAACAACAATTATAAAATTTACAAGCTTCGTGTAACACACGTAAGCTTCAAAAATGATGCTTTTTAGTGTAATAGAATCACGTAACTGTTGAAGCATTTGAATTATGGAGATGTGAATAATTTTGTATACCTGCTTTACATAATAAGAAAACTTCCCACAGGAACGAAGTTTTCTATTTAATTGAATTTCCTTTCTAGAACAATAAGGCAACATTAATCTCTCGGATGTATTTTCCTCAAAATTTATTTTGTTTATTTAACCTTAACCTTAAGTAGTAAACATTCTATAAAACTGCATATGGATAACCATAAGAAATTCACATTAGAATACCAAACTAAACCAAACTTCTGCCAAATTAGTTGGTTTCACGGGAATAAATCTATAACAATCGAGGTTTATTTGCAAAAGTAATAACATTTGTACATCCAAATCCTTCAAGTCAAATCGATTCGAGCAAAGTCTGTTGAATTAAGTTATTTCCTGTATCGATTTCTATCTCTTTTGATAACTTTTCACACAAATAGTTCGTTAAGTCGACAAAGTAGTGGAATAAAGTAAATTACATTAACTTTATACAAAACAAGTTACATATAAAGATTCTTGAGATGCTTTGAGTGACATCATTTACAACTTTCTAATGAAAAGGGTAACTAAGCAAGGATAAATATCTTTAAAGATATTTATTTGATATTCGTTTAGCTATTTTATTAAATTATGTATATACTAAGCAAGATAGATGTTTATGATCTTTAGTCACGCATCATTTGCGCAACGTCGTTTTTTACCCCGCGATTTTAATGTCGCATTCTTAAACATTAATTCTTTTAATAAAAATTGGACGATTTTAGAAAATTTTTAGCGATCTTTTAGGAGAAGGAAAAAAAGAAATAATCCCTCTTTCTTTCTGAATCAATAAATCCAGATGGAGTTGATAGAGTAGCAGTCAAATGGCGTAAGAGAATATCTGGAGGTTTTGCAATGACTTAAGCTCCATTACATCTCTGCTTCTATTTCTGTGTTATTTTCCCTTTGATAGATTTTTTTCTGTCCATTTGCTACTCTAGATGTTTCTGAAGCTAGGAATGAGATAACGTGATGAAATAATCGACAGGTGGTTCCACGTTTACATGTATGGAGATCGAATTAAACATTTCAAACTAGTAAAATTTTATACACCTTGATAAATAGTTTTATATCTTGTAAATAGAATTTTCCAGTAATTCTGTTAATTCCAATCAATATTATTCATTTATTGTTCATCGCAAATTATTAAAAGCTAATCATTGCCAGACCCAAATAATATAAATTATATAGATACAAACACATTATTTATATATAATCACATGATCAGGTAGATTCATTGATCTGTTCTCTCGAATAAATAATTTATTTTATCAACGAACGTGTACCAGATGGCAAACATCGATTTTACTTGAGCAAAAAATAAAGTAAAAAGTCAGAATAATATAGAGTAATCCGGGAAAATTGTTTTCTAAGACGATTTAATGATATTTATTGCTTTTAAAAAATAAAATTTAGAGATTTTAATAAAGTCGAATTGAAATGTTATTACTTCTATTATAAGAATCGAAGTTCTCTTCTCTTATGGCCATTTGAGTTAACAATGTCGAAGTTGATGATGTCTTTAATAATAACTACTTGATAATAACAGTTAAAATAATCATTAAGAATCATCAGCGTTACATGACATAATCAAATACGATACATAATAATATAATTACAGTATTAAAGTAGTATGTAAATGATAATTATAATTGTAATAGCATTAAAGTGGTGAATTATTTTTGAGTAGTTTCCCTTGGAATTTAGGCTTTGGATAGACGTATCAGATTATGAAGACAACGACAATAAAAACTGGACTACTCTCCAGTTAACCATCAATCCGATGTCATTGGAAGAAGTTTATACTTGTGACGTCATGAAACAACCAGAAGTACCATTGATAAGCAGACCAGCTGACATCAAAGATAATGTCTCCCTCGGAACGGATATATTAACAGCGGGAGTGCATTTATTCAGTGGTAAGCATCGGTTCTGAGTAATAAGCCAAATGAAGTATGTCGACTATTTGTCTGGGCCTTTCAACCTCTAAATTTGCGCATACATCATCCCCTCTTTAAGTCTCGGAATGTTAAATCTGGTTAAGAACAACTTAAATCTGACGACAGTGATATAAATTCATGTTAGAAAAGCAGAAAAGCAATAAATTTGAAAATATAGGCTACTCACAAGGGATGATATAATGTTCTACTTTAAAAATTTAACAGTAAAAACTTCAATCTGTTTTCATTTTAAATAACATTTTCTTCATCTGTGTCCAAAAAAGTTATACGTAACATTCTTTTATGTACTCGAATTCTGGTAGATATTTATATTGCATTTAAAGTAAAACAGGCTTTTCATACTTATTAATGTATTAGATTCATTTAAAATATTTCAAAAAAATAAATATTTACTTTGAAATCTATTTAATTTGTTACCGGTAGTTTAAGTTTTAAATCACCCATTACTGAGATTATATTGGACGGATTAAAAGAAAATAAATAATCTTGAGAAGTGGAAGAAAAGAAGAAAAGCAAAAAGAAATTGCTTTAAGGAAAGATCTTTCAGAATATATATTTTAGTTAAAATTGATTGAAATATTTTATAGAAATAGAAGGAATATCTTCCTTTATCCATTTTCATTTTTTCAACCACTCACTAATCTATTTTAAATTTTAAAATTATTTTCCATTAAAATATACAGATATTTCAGCAGATATTTACATAGAACCACATATTTTTATAAGAATTTTTTTTATCTCTTCCACTTTTTTTCGGAATTATTTTTTCTACTTTGATAACATATTTAATATAATATAGCACTTATTCTCCGTTTCTAATTTGCAATGCAAATAAAACTGTTTAAAAATTGTTGTAGGCTGCTAACTCAAAACTTTTTAAAATTTAATTAAATGATAAAGATTTCGAAATAATATTGAATTAACTTATTTTTTCTTTATTTTTTTAGTAAAGTTAAATTTTCCTTCAGCAATTTGTGGTCTGAGTTGGAGACTTAACACTACAGTGAAACCGCAAGAATGTTCTAAAATGCCTTCTACGGTATTATGTTCAGGCTATGGAAACTGCATCAGTGAAGCCGATAAGGTATCATTCTAGCTTGGAAATGTTTCTTGGAGTGTAATTTTAACACAGCAAAACGATTAATCTTTTTTATATATAAAGATATATAGAAATTCTACGTGATACCTCTACTTTAATTTATTATCTATAGTTATATATATATAAAATGATATTTTATTATTTAAATTTAATCATGTGTAGTATTTCGGAAAATATAAATTCATAAGGATATTGGATGACTATCATGAATAATTTCATAAACTGTAACAAGGATGCAGCTGAAGGTATGTAGGATATTTTTAAGCACATATAGTCGTATGCCCTTCATTACATGTGCTTACAGATATTTATTATAATATAGCGTAAAAATCCTACTCTATATTATAATAAATATACAAATCTAAACAGTAATATTTTTTATTTCAAACAATGGAACCTATATTTTTACAAGTAATTGCTCATTTTGTTCTTTCTAATGCCAGTTTTAGCCTAAATGTTGAAGAAAAAATCATAAACAAACCGTATACATCTGCTGAGTTTACGACTGGAAAAATATATCAAAACTTTAACAAAAAAGAAATGAATTTTGAAAAAATTAACTCCTTATGAATATTTTTATCAATTTTTTTTATTGTTAAGAATTTTCAATGAAATAGAGTATCGAATTATCATTTTTTTCTATCTCTTTAACCAAATTTATCGAAGATTTACCTATCCCGTTTTGCCCATATAGTCAATAGCTAAACAAATATCTCTTGTCGCCACATTCTTCTCAAAATCGATAGAATGTTTGCAAAAGATCCACTATGACATTGTCAATATTAAAACTTCTCTTACTTGTCAAAATGTCCCATGTGATTGTTTGGACGTGTCGAATTGCGATTGAAATTTTGGATATTGATCGCTCTTGTGTCTATTTTATCAGCTGATATTAGAATCTCACCGATCCATCCACATGCTGAAGAATATTTTTCTCTTATAGGCATCTTTTACGTGTCGTTGCTGTCCAGGATACAGCGGGAGATACTGCGGAGAAAGAGATGGTTGCTATGGGAACCCTTGTAAGCACGGAGGATTCTGCGTAGACATCTCCGAAGGATTGATTGGGACCACCTATCAATGTCTATGTCCTCATGGTAAAAACTTTCCTAAATAAAAAAAAACACTTGCTATTTTTAAACTTATATAATTTAATCTATCGCACGGGAATTTTCTACGGTAACAAAAAAGCATTTTATTTTTAAGAAGAAAATATTTTAAAAAAATAATAAAGATATAAAAGAAATTTTGCCAACAAAAATTAGGACATAAATGCTATAAAAGTATTTATGTTCCAATTTCTTAAGGACTTTAAAAAAGTCATGGTCAAGGTTATTTCCAATTGATTGTTCGGCACGTTTAAAATAATAACTTAATAATCATTCAAATTTAATTTATGCAAATGTAATGCTAAAATTAAATCAAAATATAAACTGAGAAACTTTCTAATATTTGAGTTAAATATTCCTCGAAAATCTCAACTGTTGTAGAATATAATATAGTTAAAGCTACATATTAATAGGTAAAGTTTATTTTAGTTTAAATGGCAAAGCTATTAAATTGAAACCTTTATAATTTAATGCCACGCGCGTGTGTGTGTAGAGTGTAGATAGCATTTGTACACTCGGTGTAACGTTCTTGAGATAACACGGTGACAGAGAGGATTACTGTTACTGTGACCGCTTTATCCGTCTACCACGGTCTTCTTTCTGCAGACAGGTCTGCACATTTGACAATTTTTTCTGACAAGTAACTATATTGATTGTGTGTTATTGGCAATGATCATGTTGGCGAGACGAGTTAGTCTTTATGCAATGTATTTTCGTAAACAATTGTTACGCCATTTTTTTCCTGTCACTAATAATGTTTATGATACATTTCGTACTGTACGTCACACCGCGATTAATTTCTCCCATGTTTAATATTTAATGACAAAATTTATTTTTGTTGGAACTTAAACTTGAATTATTGTAATTATACTTGAATATATAATCGAATAAATATTCTGTTACATATCCGCTACATACAATTAATGTGATTATAGGTTCAAAATTCATATTTTAACTGTCGCAAAGCATGCTTTTAATGGAAGTTAATATGAATTTTCGGTCGATTACAGTTGTCAACTTTTATGCTACTTAATTCAGACTGTAGCATATTTTATTTATAGATACCAAGATTTAGCCCTCTGTTTTTTAAAATTATTTGTAATTTAAGTAGCTAATATCATATAAATTATATGATGATAATTAAACTGTGTTTATTATTTTACATAAAAAATGTGCCTATTAAGTCGTCTGATTGTAATAATTGCTAACAGGGCTACTATCAAATCAACTATCGAAGATATTATCAGATAAAATGCTTTAAATTAAATCGAGTTTTTTTCCTCTTAGGTTATCGAGGCCAGTCATGTGAAGAAGAAGTTAATCAGTGCGATAAGAAGCCTTGTCACAACAATGCCACTTGCCACGGTAATCAGACCTCATACTATTGTGACTGTCCACAAGGATTTACAGGAAAAGAATGTGAGATCAACATCAACGAATGTTTATCGAACCCATGCGTTCATGGTATGTGTGAAGATAGTATAGCAAAATATAAATGCTATTGTTTACCAGGTAAGTTCGATGATCTTCAAAATCGTATTTAAATACTCCATAATTAATAAATTGCATTATCTAGGTTATGGTGGCGATCATTGCGAGTTTGAATACGACGAATGCGATTCCAGTCCTTGTATTAACGGAGGTGATTGCGAAGATCTTGTTGCGAGTTATAAGTGCCATTGCGGACCCGGTTATATCGGCAGGAGATGCCAGATTAAAGTCGACCTTTGCAAACCTAATCCTTGCCCTCCACCGGCGCAATGCGTCGACAGAGGAAATAATTATAGTTGTATCTGTCATCCGGGTTATAATGGTAAACTTCTTTTTTTTTAATATATAAATTAAACAAGATGCGTAGTTTTCTGATAAATGTAAGCACACCGAACGAAATTAAAGTAGTTTATGTGCGAAAGGATGCGGGATGTAGAGCAATGCTAGAATACATTATCCTCTTTTCTGATTTGATGATATCATAGAGTTGATAGGTCGTTCAATATAAGCCAAAGGGATTTATGGAAATGTATAAAAAAAGCAAATGAATGATGTTCGAAATGTCCTTGATAACACGCCATACTAGTCATAAAATAAAGTGTGAAGAAGGATAGAGCTAAAGAACTGCTATTTTCTATTCCAATTCTGTTGAAGGAATTTTGCAATTTAAAGTAAAATCTTAAAAAATATTTGAATAGAGTAAAAACTTTTATCAAAAGTATTTAAATCTTAATAAGTAAAAAGTTTTAAATAATAATAATAATAATCATATTAAGTTTTCAAAATAAGAATTTAACAATTAAATTAGATTTAAACAATAAACTATAAGCTAATTTAACTTTAATTTTTAATTTAATTTACGCAGAAGAGAATATTAAATTGTTAATTTTTAATAAGCATAATTAGTTTTAAATTAAAATATTATTAAAAGCATTCTATAAATTATTATTCCATATGTTTATTTATTATTAATAATGATATGTAGAAGTTATAGGCATCCTGGTATGCAGAAAACAAATTTATTAGGATGCCAGCAGAGTCTTTCATACATCTAAAAAGTACTTAAGTACTTAAATTTTTTAAGCAGAAATAACGTATCTACTCAGAGAGTGAAAGTAATATAAGATGGAAAAGTGTGTTTGACCTCAGATTAGAATTGAAATAATTTTCCTCCTTTTGGAAAGAAATCCGATAAGTTTAAGATAAGGACGTGTCACAAGTCGTTGACAGTGTCAGTTGAGTTAAATAAGCAACACTTATTTTGCAATGAATATTTAATGTTGCTTATATATTTTAGTACACTTCTAACCTAAACTTTATGCATGATATACTGAAAGTTGTGATGCGGCTTATAGAATTTGTGTAAACTTCGTGAATTAACGTTGCTAGATAAAGAAATGTTTATAAATGCATAACAAACTTTTATTCAAATCGTAAAAACACATTCAATTTTTATATAAATTTTTAATTTTTTATAACCATGAATATATCATTTAACTGTGAACTAATTATGTATTTAATTATATATACCGGGAAGTTTAAAATAATAACTTAATAATCATTCAAATTTAATTTATGCAAATGTAATGCTAAAATTAAATCAAAATATAAACTGAGAAACTTTCTAATATTTGAGTTAAATATTCCTCGAAAATCTCAACTGTTGTAGAATATAATATAGTTAAAGCTATATATTAATAGGTAAAGTTTATTTTAGTTTAAATGGCAAANCGCACAGGGGGCTACAGTTTGGGGGGATCGCCACCTCTTCATTCGGAGGGTAACCTCGCGTTTTTTTATGCAGCGCTCGAGAAGCGCTTTACAGCGAACACACTGAAACTGGTTTTTAATTGGCCAATACTGCTCGTGACGTCATTTCGCTACACTCTCGCTGCATAAAAAAACGCGGGGTAAATCTTACCATTCGGACTTTTACAGAGCTGTAGAGCATATTGATAGGAACAAAAAAGTCAAAGGAACCGTGCCTCATGGAAATTTGTAAAGAACGCCCACTAGGGGGCGTCCCTGGCTACTAGTATATAATAACATATATTAACTTAACGTATCAATTACTATAAAAGATTTGATATATTAGTCATACATCCAAGATCAAACTTTATGTAATTTAGCTTGTGTGATTGTTGTTTTTTTTGGACAGATTTATCATAAAATTTAAAGAGTTTTCCATTATTTAAGGCTTTAACAATCAGTTAATAAATAACAGATCAAGCAATTTGATCAAAAACTTTGATAATTTAACCGAATAATTTGATATTTCTGAGAATCCATAAAAAAAAGTTAAAGAGCCACTGTTTTAAGCAATATTAATTCATACAAATATACTTTATAAATTTATATATATATATATACTTTATATGCAATTATATCCAAGCATATTATGCTTAAAATTATAGTAAATAATCAGACATAAATGCTTTAAGAAAGTGGAAATTATTTTCTATCTTCAATCTTCTTATCTGAAGTATACTAGATAAAGTGAGCAGAACTTTGTTACTCATGAAAGATGTTAACCCAACTGCCATAAATAATCATTACAAAATTTAACTTATTAGAATAAGTAATACGTTGTCTTATTCCAGAGAAAATTTTTAATAATGAATCACAACTCACTTAAGGGAGCATCAATAAATTATATAAAAAGAAAGAAGAAAAAGTTGTTAAAATCGAAATTTTTATATTTTTTCTTTACAATTTCGTATAATTTATAGTAGTTTCTTCATATTTAAAGCAAATAATAGAATTAATAACTTCAAAAAAAATAATATTTACAATCTCTTATATGAATTTTAACACACATTTAACGGAAGTTTTTATGATAAATACCTCGTACACTTACAATTATAAGAATAATATACAAAATATTACGTATATAATATATATAATATACAGAATATAATACAAAATAAAGAATAATACACAAAATCTACAAAGAAGCAATTATCATCACTATAAATCCGAAAGATGATAAAATCTACGATTTTTATTGATGTTTTTTTCATGTTACTTGCTATCTCACTAGCCGTTATCATCATTTCTGTTACAAAAATTCCCGTTATCATCTAACTGTTTACATGGAGAAGTACTGGTATTTAGTATTCTGCTCACGGCATCGAATCGCCTACTTAAAGATTGGATATTCTAAAGCTAAGATTAGAGAACTCATTATTATGCAGTCAATGTTATTCTTAGCTAATGTCAACTAAAATAGCTATTTATTGTTAAATTATATGAATTTTTGAAGGGTCGAAGACATTCAAAATTTGTATATATTAGTCCGAGTTAGTCATAACAATAAACAGTTCTATATGAAGTAATTGATGTATGCGTGATTTATATCATAATTAACGCTTGTAAACTTAAGGAAAATAATAATTTAAAAATATTTTAAATAAAATATGATGTTTAATTATTCAAAAATATAGAAACTTCATTGCTAGTTATTAAAAATCAGTGGAAAATGACAAAAAATGTTAAGTTTATTTAGGAAAGAGAGAAGTAAAAAAAAGACAAAAGAAAAGCTAAAGTATTTTTTTGGGGGGAAATATTTTTTTGTTACTTTCCAAAATTGACTTTTAAAATTAAAATTTTTCGAGTTTCCGCAAAGTTAATAAAAATATTCGTTTCAAAATTTAAACGAGTTGCTTGAATATACCCTAGAGACATTATTTTTTTGTGAAAAATTGAAAGCAATTCAATATTCCTTCTGAAGTTCTGTTGATATTAAATGCTCTTAAAGATAATTGGCAGAATTAGTTAGAGCTTGCACTCTAAATGTGTTAAATCAAAACGACGTTTTTTAATATATCTTTATTGACAGCTAAAATAATATTAAAATGAAAATTTGTCGACAAGTTATTTTAATGAATATTTAAAGATGTATATTGATTTTTGAAAGGTTTAAAATTACAAATATTTATGCGCATTAAATTATTTTTACAATAAATATTACAGAATACATAAATATATTATGCATTCTGAAATATTTACAACAGTTAATAAATATTTATTAAAACAGAAAAAATAATTACATTAATAAAAGTAAAAAATTGCAAACTATTTTGTATTAATATTAAAAAATTGACGCAGGAGGGACCCGAGTTCGAATCCGGGCAATCGAAAACTACAGGAAAATATTTTCATGGAAAGTATGCCTCGTATATTTCGTGCCCTTTCCTCGCTCTAGTTGTGGGCATGACCGAAAAATATCGTTTTAGTGCCAATAGGAAGGAAAGAATTTAAAATAAAAAGAACAAAAATTAATTGAGCTACAGTTTTTAATCATATTTATAATTTATTTAATTTTAAAATAGATATTTTCTATCTCAAATTAGTAGTGTCTTGTCCCTGTACATCATACTCTTCCTGATAACAATAGAATCGTGCCTATCATCTATTAACTGCTTTCAGGAGAAACTTTTTGAATTGAAATTACGTGACTTCTAGTTTAGTTCGGAAGTTCGTATATAGTTAATTAGGACTCCTGCCACTAAGCTTTCCGTATCTGGTCGCGATTTCCATCTTTCTCGAGATTAAGAAAGGACAGGCAAACTGACAGTGGGAATTTATAGGTCTATAATTATTTTTTTTAAATTGCAGCCCAATTAATTTGTCAAGTGAAGAATTAAGTCAAAAACACTAACAACACAATTATCATTAAAATCATTAATTATAGAATACGAATCATATTTAACATGAAAATTCTTATAAAAGAATCATAAGTATAGATCAAGTCATAAATGCAATTACATATTATCCTTACATATGAATTAATTTTGTTTTTTTTAAAACCAAATCGCTTGAAACTATTAAATAAAATGTGAAAAGTCAGCAATCCATTTTTAGTTTGGTTTATCTACAGCATACAATTGCTATTACGAGATGAGAATTTTAAATAAGATACAACTTAGAATTGCAGTCAGATATTAAATAATCGTTGGCGATTTGGCGTTTTACAGCGCTTTTACAAGAGGAAAAGTGTGCCGTAACCGTAACATTTTGAAATATAAATATTTTCAGGTCCCGGGTGTACGCAACATTACGATCCGTGTTATCCAAGCCCGTGTCAAAATGGTGGGACGTGTTTTCCGAATTTGGATTCTTTTTTCTGCTCTTGTTTGCCTGGTTACACCGGAGATATATGCGAAGGTAACAAGTTGACAATTAAACTTTGTGGAAAATTGAAAATTCGCGTTTATAGAATTAATTATTATAATTGCAGAAAGAATGTATCCTGCTCAACCACTTCCACGCACTTTGGAGGACACTTCGGTGCACGTGGCGGAGAGAGATAACGTAGATGCTACAGACGTAACTCTGGACCATCTACACAACATCTATATCGCAGCTGCTGCACTGGCAGGTGCTTGCTTAATTGTGCTGGCTGTGGTCGTTATCTGTCACTGCAGGGTGCATAAAACTTATCAACGTTTCACGAGAAAGTTGAGTAGATCGTGTTCCGATATTAAGCAACAAAAACTGTGAGTATCTCCATAGACGTATTTTTCTTTAATTAATTTATCGAAATTAAGCGATTTATTTTGCCTATCGTCTTATCGGGATGAATCGTTAACTAGAGAAATAAATGAGAAAGGAAGTAGAAAGGATAAAATCACACACACAGATGTTCCTATCAATATTGATTATCCGAAGCAATATTAATGACAAAATTTCATTAAAGTTTATTTCTTTTATTTTTATACAGGCGTTGTCGCTAAGACTATAATTGACACCCCCTGATACAATGAACAATAAACGAATCCCATTAAAATAAATACTAAAATACAGAAAAATATACTAAAATACGGGGGAAATATATACTAAAATACAGAGTAACAATAACAAATATAAAAAATAAAAAATTAATTAAAATAAAAATTCATATTTCGCTCTGGACTTAGAAAATTGAATTATTTACTGGAACTTTTTTCCTTCTCACTACTTAACGATTCGCCTGTATTAGGAAAACGTCGTGCTGGAATTCACGTGTAGTTAAACATATAATTTAGTTTAACTTTTACGTATTATAATTGAAGCGTAGCGTAAAATGCAAAAGGAGTTAAACCAGCACGGCATGTAGATATCACTGTTTATTTTAAAAAGATATTAATGAACCTACAAAATCAATCAACTCAGACCACTCACGGTATATTCCCAGCGAAGACCCGGACAAGTTTCTATTGAACCTGCGTGGAGGCGTTTCTGAAAGGAACCATTGTCCGGATCCCGGATACGAGGCCACCAGCGTGGATTTGGTAGACAACTTGAGCGCGCCTCTCATCGACTAGCAAGAGTGAGAAAAAGAGGACAACTCTCGCTTCGGTCCTGCCATCGTCGTGACGTCATCTACCCCTCCCAGTTTTTTGTACATCTCGTGATTGAAGTGGACCAGAACGCATTGATGTAAACGTATTCGAGACTATTGGAAGATGGCGCTCACGAAGACTTTCCTCGAACTTAGTTATCATTTGATAGGGTCGCTAGCGTGTGCTTATAGTCATTACTACTCTAGGAAAGAATCTCAGCAAAGTATTTGTATCCGAATGAATTATATTTATTCTCTCTTGTGTCATTTCATTACTTTTTATCTATGTATTTATTCGAGGATATTTAGGATTATCTTCATACAACGAATTTGTTGCATCGCGTTGTTATTTTTTGACCAGAAAGATCATCTTCCATTATCTCCCAAGTGATTTGTCAATTTAATCTTATATTTATTAGATAATTAATGCGTGAAAAAATTATTTGATACTAATAAAAAATAGCCCCAATAAGAATTTTATATGTGTTAAAAAAAGGAAAAACAATTATTAAAAAATTGGTGGAGTGGTAAATTTTTATCTACGAGTGTAATTATAATTTTGCACAATGACGCTGTTAAGACCATTAAAAAAAGATTGACCAAAACAGATTTTCTCAGCGGGATTAATAGCAAAATTAATTTGAATGGCGCGTGATCAAAAGTGGTTTCTTTCTTTGGAAGACTTTTTTAAAACTCATTCTCTTCAAATACTCTTTAATACCTGGAGATTTATGACTAGAAAGATTCCAAAGAAGGAACTACGTGACCTATTTAATAGTGGGTTATTTTTCACCCATCTAAACAAACCAAGATTTCAATGACGCAAGCTAAAGACCAACCAACTTTGCAGAAAGAAAAGAAAGTGAAGTAAAAAAAAAATCAAATATTTCTTGCAAGGATTTGAAAACGATTTTGCCAAATACTGGAAGGTATTTTCAGATGATCTGTACTGGTAATGTCTTCAGAACTCGGTTGATCGATTGTTTAGGGTCAGGCGTTAGAAGGACATTAGAATCACAGCCTACAGAGATAGACGAAGGAAGATTATTGGTCTAAGTGATTTTTTATTCTTTTGCCTTTTTTTTATTCCCGGTTAGCTATTTCCTGTACATCATGTCTGTAAATCTTATCTCGGTACAATTTAGTGTTCATCTCACATAATAAATAAATATATATAAATGTAAACGTTACGTGTATGATTTTTCTATAGTTCTTTTCTGTATATCCTTATTCTAATAAAAATCATTTTTATGTACCTAAGTCTAGATATTTTTTAAAACATTTATTTAAAAAAGTTTGTGAAATAGTTTAGGAAACTTGATTAATGAAAGTTTTATAGCGGGGAGGAAAATAAAATAAGTTGTATCTGATACGATTATCATCCCTTTAAAGTTGTACAAGTTTATCATTAGTTCGGTGGCCATCTTGAATAACTAGAACTAATGATGAAACTAAAACATTACTAACGACAAGATTCAAATATCTAAAATAATTTCGGTTTCAGAAACATTTCGAGATCGTAAAATTTGATTGAAAGTTTTGAACTGATAATGTTCATTAGAACCTAACGACGGTATTTAATGGCCAAAATTCAATGCGAAAATTGAGAAATTGCATGCCAAGTCTCCTCCTTTCCCTTATGGAATATTTTAACTTAATATCCATTTTCGTGATATTTGCGCAAACAAACTTCAGTAAATATTCTCTAATTTAATATTAATTAATTAATTATCGTAGTGTATATTGTAGAATATCGATAACTCTTGGAAAGGGAGTGAAAATGGCAACGATCCTCTCTAGCCACAAAACGTTTAAGACTAAGTAGACCCATGCGATAGTTAGATTTTGATATCCAAAAGTAATGTTTTCTAAACAGTCCATCAATGTCACCGCTATTATATTGTAGTAGACAAAACGATTTTAGAAGAAATTCTTTTATTTTAGATGTAAAGTCCTGTGGGGTAGAACCACATCAATTTGTCACGACCCTACTTATCAATCACCTACGCTTGTCTGGTCATGTGACGGACATTGCAACGTCAGCTACGTTGTAAATCGACGGAGCATGCGGAATAAAACTCTAGAAAAAAGGAATTTACCCACTTTCCATCTGAATTTTTGAAGTTTATGCGATTCGAAGAGTTACTTTGCGTGGAATGGATTCGAGTTACACAAAGTTATCGTCTCATAATGCTATTTTCGTTTCATTCGTGTTATTTATTCTTTGAATCTCTGTAGCTGAGAATATTCTTTGACGATGCTCGAAACGCTCTAATGAGTTACTTTGACCACATAAATCTCATAAAGAGTGATTTACACGGGCGGTAGACTTTATCCCTTTAGCTAACCATTCCAGTTAATGTACTATTGTTGATTCGCCCAAAGCAAAATCTCCATTTAATAGGACACTAATCAACTACTCATTCGACTCTCTGATTGCTATACATAATTAAATTATCAAATATTGCTGTAAGCTTTCTAACTAATGAAATAGCGAATACAATTACGACAAAATAGAATATTAAATATTTTATTATATTTTTAAAAACATTATCTAAAATTTATAAATCCTTACAAATACACTTTTACAACTGCCGGTATCCTGGGTATTAGTATGTAATCACATTCACTCCTACTTTTATTAACTGATATTACAGATTTTCTGATAATTACAGGCATTAAAAATGATCTAAAATAATAGAAAAAAGTTTCTAAATAATGTAAAATTTTATAATTGATTAATATCAATTTTATTAAGTGTTTCTTTAAAGATTGGATGGGATTGATGGGATAAAGCAACGCAACACATGGGCGATCTGCCAAGAGGAATATCTCCCGGGAGGGGTTTTTTTCACGTGCCAAACACCTAAATAGGACTAGTTTCCCTTTTTATGGGAAACTGGTCCTATTTAGGTGTTTGGCACGTGAAAAAAACATTAAAATACTCTACGTGGCCAGTTGGTTGGTCAAGTGCGAACCCACGACCACCACTACCAGTATTCAGTGGTTTCATTCATTCGGCCACTGGTAAGATTATTTATTTATTTTATTTTTTTAAATTGAGAAGTCCAGGAATCTGAAATATGTATTTATCAAGTTGAAACTAAATAAAAAAATTGCTTCACTTTTCTATCCTTAATTCAATAGCTTCGATTTTATTTTTTCTCTTAGAAATGTTTCATTCTAACGCTTTCTATTTATTACTTAATCTATCTGCAATGTAACTCAAGAAAAACAAAAAATATATATAATTAACGAAGAAAATGGAAATGTGCAAAAATTTTTTAAAGTAAATAATTTAAAATTTCATTCGTTTCAGAAAAATTATACATATTTTAATGCAGCAAAAACTATGCATTTTTATTTAAAGCAATGGAAATATAGAAATTTCTAATAAGAATATAATTACATTTATTGTGACAAGAAGACAAGTTAAAGTGCTCATTTCATTATCAGTGAAAAGTACAAGTGCTATCGATTTCAATCAGCAGAAATATAAAGAAGGAAAAGATGCTAAAAGTCACTTTTGCTTGCAATTGTAAAGTTCTTATATTTAAAGGAAGGAAACTTCGATGATTTCAATCTCGACTACATTGAAAGCACTTTACGATAAAAAATTGATTTAACTTTATCCATGTTTCACATACTAACAATCTACAGATCCTATAATACCTCAATAAATTTAGAATGATTGGATAAGAGGATTATACAATTCCATCGCACGAATTCCAACCGTTAGACAAGCATACGAAAGAATGGCAACCACTTTTCTCTTAATAAATACTTTGGTCCATTTTTCTACAGTTATTTATTTTCATTATTTCATAACGTATTCTACAAAAAGTAAGAGAAGGGGAGAAAATCCTCATAGATTTTACACTGAATTTGACAGTTACATATGTCACTTTCTCCTTTTTTCTTTCTCTTTTTCTTAACTGTGTACAATGCATTTGTTCTTTTTATATCACTAACTGGTGATATGTTAATGTTTCAGTTTTTAAAAAATTTTTTTTATGGTGGACGCAACGGAATAGAAATTCCATTTACAGGAGGATAATAGACGACGTGATCAATGCTTAATTGGCACAACGATAGAAATTCTTTGGAAAAGTAAAAAGTTTTAATTCCATCAAGAATGGAAGACTTTTTCTTATTATAATATGCCACGGTTGCTAAATTCCAATTCAACTCTAGATTATTGGAAAAGTGTAGTAAGAGTTAGATTTTAGAATGTAGAAAAAGTGATTGCTAGGTAAAAAAATAAATAAAAAGTAAAACACGATTTGTATAGATTGTCTGTTTTTCGATTTTCTATTTAAGATAAATTTTACATCTTTCGATATATATACGCATATATATATATATATATAGAAAGATGTAAAATTTTTTTATTTTCTACAATTCTTGGATTGCTGATGTTTCCTCGGACATCTGGAAGGAATTTTTTATCGTTCTGTTTCAACTTCAGTCATTATTACCTCACATACTGGTTTCTTCTCGGCTCTATCTTCGAAAAGTATTCCAAAAATGTTTCTTTTCGAACGATAGAAAAATTTAGCAACCGGAATAGAAGTTGGGTTATTTCTTGCAGTTTTTCTAAAATAGCAATTTAAGCGAGTCAAACCACATCAAGTTTGAGGATTTATTTCTTTACTTTTTCGCTTAATATTCCTTTATAATTTTCGATTTGGATCAGTTTGGTAATTCCCATTTTCGATCGGCGAAATGCAAAATTTTCCAGACAATTATGGTAATCCCTCTGCTAAACTATCAAAAGATCAGTAGCAGTTAATTGCTTTTCGATTCTTGGAGATAGGACGAGTGAATACAACAGAAAATTCGATACACAGATTTGCACTTCTGAACAGATATAACTTACTGCATTTCTACTCCAGAAGAATTATCACCAGAAGCAAAAGCTGGAAGGAAATAAAAATAAATCGTTTCGCCTAGTCGAATGTCTTGTAGCAAAGTGGATATCCTAAATAATTGACTAGTTGACCCTTAACTGAAAAAAGCTAAACTATAGATCACTATTAAGTGAAAACCTCTTTTTAAATGATATATCTGAAATAAAGTTTCGAAATTTTTATAGAAATAAATGTATAAAATCGATATTTAAATTGAGTAAAATGGGATTAATAAGATATAAATATTATATTATAATCATTTATAGTTGTTATTCACGTAATTTGGATTGGGTTGATGGGTAAGGAAATGTAACATTTAGGCAATCTACCGAATGGGACTGCCTCCCGGGAGGACTTATATAGGGAAATGGCCCCTATTTAGGTGTTATGCGCGTGAAGAAAACCTAGTAATCTGCACGTGCAGCCATTGGTAAAGCGCGAGCTGACGATCTGTTCAGTGGTTTCATCCACTCGGCCACTGGTGGGCCACATAATTTGGAGGAAAAATAAAAAATTATTCGATCTGAGAAATTTAAAATTGTGAAGTGTGAAAGAGGAAGATAAAATTAAATAAACACATTCTGTAAGTGTATCAGTTAATGTTTGTATTCGCCAAAGAATTTGTATGTAACATCCAAAGATCTTTGAAGATTGTTTTTGAATTCCCTTATGACAACAACAAATGCATGATAAATATGTAAATTAAATGTTATTCCTTTCATTTAGGAAAGTGTTCAAAATTCTTTAAGATAAAAACGTGCCAGATAATAAAAGTCAAAAAGTTTTATATAATTTAATTAATTGTTACTAATTACTACTAATTACATGCATCTAGAAATAAACGTAAATAAGAATTATATTTTATAAAAGTTTAATTAACACAATTTATAACGTTTTGTAGCTTGTGACTTATGTATGATTATTATTACTATATATTATTAAGAAATTTGCACTGTTAAATATAGAACTGTCGTAATGATTTTAAATTTAATAGTTTAATATCGTACACTTATTCAAAATACTTTAATCTTGTAAATTTAATTCGAAGTTTATTGCAGTACAGTATTCTTTTTTCATATACTATTTTGCCATTTCATAATTTTCCAATGTATATATTA